TCTCTGTGAGTTCAAGGCCAGCCTGGTCTACAAAGTGAGTTCCAGGAAAGGTGCAAAGCTACACAGGGAAACTCTGTCTCAGAAAACAAAAACAAAAACAAAAACAAAAACAAAAAAACAACAAAAAAAGAAAAGCTGTATTCCTTGCTATCAGGTTAGTGATGTTTAGTGGCCAGACCGTTGCGGACCTGAATGGAGGAGAATCACTTAGAATGTCTTATCCTATTTTGCTTAGAGTTTGAACTCGGCTCTGACAGCAATGGACAGTTGTTGAGGAATTCAAGCAGCCCAATAAAGTAGCATGATATGTGTGTATGTGTGTATGTGTATGTATGTATATACATATGTATATTAACAAACAGTGAGTGGCCGGTTTGTTAACGTTTTAGAGACTGGTTATGGGTTGGAGGTTGGCACAGTGGGCTGCAGGGAAAGAAACCCAGGAGATGCTGCTGTAGAGCAGACCAAGGAAGACGGCAGCCAGAATGAAGAGAGGTACAACAGTGAAGGGGTACTGATGGGTACCAGAGTAGAGAAGAGGTAGAGCCAGCAAAGTTCCCATACTAGGAAGACCTCCCAGGGCAAAGGAGGGACCAGGGTTAAAACTGGCTCCGAGAGGGCTGGAGAGATGGCTCAGCCGTTAAAGGCTAGGCTCACAACCAAAAACTGGCTCCGAGAAATACAATAAAAGCTCACAGAAGGATCTGGTTTTCTGTTTGTTTTTGTTGTTGTTTTTCTTGTAGTATAAAACTCTAGTTTTGGGGATGCCCAAACAAGCATTCAAAAGCCTTACCTTCATATATATATGGTCATCATTAACTGGATGCAGGGGATGATTATTATTACTAATAGTAATATAGAAAAGAAGATGTGAAGTTGAGAGACTATACGTCCTGCCTGGCTGGACGTATACAGAGGCTGTATGTAACCTTTGAATTTACTGGCTAGGGGTTATAGTTATCATTTTGGGGCAGGCCTGGACAAGTCCCAGGCTTTGTCCTTGAGCTGCCATGGAGGCTGGCTGGCCTAGCACATTTACATTTAACATACAGAACATCCCACAGCAAACATTTCTTTTCTTCTCTTCTCTTCTCCTCTCCTCCTCTCCTCTCCCCTGTCCTCCTCTTCTCTCTCTCTCTCTCTCTCTCTCTCTCTCTCTCTCTCTCTCTCTCCCTCCCTCCCTCTTCCTGCTGCCTGCTGATCCAGATGTAGAGCTCTTGGATCCTTCTCCATGCCTGCCTACACTCCTCCATGCTTCCTGCCATGATGACGATGGACTAAACCTCTGAACCTGCAAGCCAGCCCCAACTAAATGCTTTCCTCTATAAGCGTTGCTGTGGTCGTGGTGTCTCTTTACAGCAGCAGAGCTTTGACTAAGACAGGCTCTCAAGCCATCTGTTGCTGCTCCTCTAATGTATGGCTAAACATCTAAGGATTTTGAAAGTCGAAAGTTGAGAATGAGTCTGTATTTCTTTTCCTGTTGCTGTGACAAAATACTCTGGCAGAAGGAACTCAAGGAAGGCAGAGTTTATTCTTGTTTGCAGTTCACGATACAGTCCATGTGGTGATATTTTCTTTGTGCACCCCAATAAAGCTTACCTGAGGATCATCAGAGGAAAAAGCCAATCACTATAGTAAACATAGAGGTCAGGCAATGGTAGCACATGCCTATAATTCTAGCATTCAGGAGGCAGAGAGTCATCCGGATCTTTATGAGTTCAGGGCCACACTGGGACCAGAGACAGGCATGGTGACACACGTCTTTAATCCCAGCACTAACCATAGAGGTCTGGAGGTCTGTACAGACAGACAGGAAGTGATGTAGCTGGGCAGAGAGAGGAAGTGAGATGGCAGAACAGAAAGGCATATAGGCGGGGGTATGCAGGAAGTAGGTCTCTTTGGAAGCTCAGGGTTGGTAAGGTGAGGATGGTTGTAGCTTGTCCTATTCCTCTGATCTCTTGGTTTTCACCCCAATATCTGGCTCCATGTTTTTGTTTGTTTGTTTTCTCGTTTTTTCAAGACAGGGTTTCTCTGTGTAGCTTTGCGCCTTTCCTGGAACTCACTTGGTAGCCCAGGCTGGCCTCAAACTCACAGAGATCCGCCTGGCTCTGCCTCCCGAGTGCTGGGATTAAAGGCGTGCGCCACCACCGCCCGGCTGGCTCCGGGTTTTTTATTAATAAGACTGTTGAGCAATTCATCTTACAGTCCATCATGGTGAAGAAGTCAAGACAGCAGGGAGCTGGAAGCAGCTGGTCAAACTGTGTCCACAGTCAAAAGAGGAGAGCACTGAATGCTGATGCTCAGCTCGGGTTCTCCTTTATATGCAAGCCAGGGCCCAAGCCTAGGGAATGGCACCACCCACTTTTAGGGTGGGTCTTCCTACCTCTGTCAAACTAATCAAAACAATCTGTCATAGGCACGCCTATGCTTACCTCCCAGAAGATTCCATATTTCATCAAACTGACAACTGAGATTAATCATAATCTTGCTAGTCTCAAATCAACATGGTAGTCACTCTGAGCTTTCTTCTGAATATTTCCTGGATTGCCCCCCAACTAACAGTCACATCATCTGGACCTATTCCTCATGTCTTCTGTGGTGGTTTGAAAGAAAATGGCCCCCAATGGGAGTGGCACTATTAGGAGGTGTGGCCTTGTTGGAGGAGGTGTGTTACTGTGGGGGCGAGCTATGAGGTCTCTTTTCTCAAGCTTCACTCGGTGTGATGGTCAGTCAACTTCCTGCTGCCTTCTGGTTAAGATGTCGCCAGCACCACATCTGCCTGCACGCTGCCATGCTCCCCGTCATGATGATAATGGACTGAAATTGTGAGCGAGCCACCTCAAGGAAATGTTTTCTTTTTAAGAGTTGCCATGGTCATGGTGTCTCTTCACAACAATAAAAACCCTAACGAAGACACCTTCCCTGATTCTCACACAGGGAAGGAGCCTTACAATTATTTTCTGACTACTGCCTGGTCCCAAACAATTCTCCCATTTCAATATCCCTAACTTAACTGTGACTGCAAACCCTATTTAGTCCCTTAAGATGATCCAGTCACAGGAATATTAATCTTGTTTCCACAGAGAAACAGAACCAATTAGACAAGATGCTATATAAGCCAGGCGTGATGGTACATGATTATAATCCCATTGCTGGAGAGATGGAGACAGGCAGATGCCTGGGGCTGATTGGACAGCCAGCCTCCCAGTGAGACCAAGGCTGGTGAGAGATCTTGTCTCGAAAAGAGAATGTGGACACTGCCTGATTCATAACATCTGTCTCCACATGCCCAGATACAGATGTGCATACAGGCTCATCCATATTCACATCTATCCATATACAGATGTGCCTACTCACACATCCACATATGCACATGCACATACACACAAAAGACAAGCCTTTATCTGTTGATATATGTGTGTGTACATGCATATTTAAATACATATATATCTACACACACACATATATGTTGTATGTATGTGTGTGTGTATATGCATATTTAAATACATGTATATCTACACACACACACATATATAGAGGAAGAGTAAGGTACTGTCTAATGTTCTAATGGTGCCTAGCAATTCAAACTCTGCCATACAGCTAGTGTGTTGGATATTTTTGTCGACTTGACACAAACTAGAGTCATCTAAAAGGAGGGACTCTCAGATAAGGTATCTCATCCATCCGATTGGCCTGTGGGCCTGTCTGTGAAACTTTTTCTTGATTAATGATTGATGCTGGGGGCACAACCCAGTGTGGGCACTGCCACCAAGGAGCAGGTGACCCTGGTTTGTGACAGAAAGTGGGCGGAGTAAGCCACAGGGAGCAACTCAGTAAACAGCGCTCGCCGATGCCCTCTGCTTTATGAACAGTTCCTCTCCCTGGATCATGAACTCTAAGCCAAATGAACCTTTTTTTCCAAAGCTGGGGTTGGTCAGTGTTTTATCACAACAGCCATAAAACAACCCAAGACGCTTACACCTATGAAATCAGATCTGCCCTGAGATGTAAATTTAAGGTTTCAACACATACACTGTTATTGATTTTCATGGATTTCATTGTTTGGAATTTATTTAAAATGAGTACTTTGTTTAGCGCTTTTCTGTTTCTTCTCTTTTAACATTCTTGTTATTGCTAAGACACAGTAGTAGTCTGAGCTTCTTGCGCATTCTTCCATCGCATATTGATTTATAACACTTTTGAGGAGAATTATCCTCACTGCCGTGAAGAGCTTATACTCTGCTCGCTCAACATGCGAACACTTCAAATTACGGTGCATTAAGATGTCAGCGACCAAAGTGAACCTTCTAAAAATAAAGTGATTTTTAAGCATTTTGTAAAATGACTAACTCCTCCTTTCCCGCTGAGCACGTACTCTGTGTTCCGTCAAGTGTTGCTTAGAATCCCATAGGTAGCAAAGCTCGTCTTGGAGAGGAATCGCGTCGTTTGCTCTCATTGAATCAAATTGGCTTTCCGACAAGGAGAGCCTTGCTACACACAAAAATAAACTAATGCATACTTCATTCACCTTGAAACATCTCATTTCGGCCTCTCAGAAACTGTGCTGGTGAGATTTTTTTTTTTAATTATCCACATTTTACAGATAAGAATCTGAAATTCAAAGGAAAAGAAAATTTACTTCAGGACTACAGAGATTCTAAGTGGCAGAGGCAGGAATTCCACGCCAGTTTGCCCCAAATCTAAACCTGGCCACATAACCAGAGATCTCTGTACCAGGTGCAAATGGCTGGAGAATAGTTGTCTATGTATGCATTTATAGAATTACCTTTAAAATGGGGAAAATGGATAACATGTATAATGGCCAGTCTTGTCTACTTGGCAGGATCCAGAATCATTCAGGAGACAAACTGCTAGGCTTGTCTATAAGGGAGTTTCTAGGTTCATTTGATTGGGGCAGGAAGACTTACCCTAACTGTGGACTGCACCATTCCATAGCTTGGGGTCTTGAACTGAAGAAAGAGAAGATGAGCTGAATACCGCCATTCATTGTTTCCTGTTTCCAAACTGTAGAGCAATGAGACCCTCTGCCGCACGCTTGTGCTTCCATGCCTTTCTGGCATGACGGACTGGACCTTTGAACTGTGACCAGTGACCCAAAATAAACCTAGCTTTCCTGAAATTGCTTTCTTCATAGCAACAAGAAATGTAAGTAATGCAACACACGAACAGGAGAATTTTAATTTTAAGCAGGGAGAAGGAAACTAATAAAAAACTGGAAAGCTTTTTACATGGCAAAGAAAAAGTATTGAAAAGTAGCCTTACCCTGATAGTGGCAAAGTTCACTGAGAAGGGTCGGTGGAAGGATTATGATATCTGAAGGCATCACCAGACTAAAACACGAAGAAGGAGGTTACAATAAAAGACTGTGTCAGCCATGATCTTGGGATCATCCGAACACTCTAAAACATGGACGTAGAGACCAAGAAGAAATGAGGAAAGAGAGTGGGAGCCTTTAATAATCGCCCCCCAAATTTTAAAAGGCCTAAGTTCATAAAGCCAAGAAGTTTGGCCAACCATAGGAAAAAAATAAATATAAAAGAAACATCAGCCGGGCGGTGGTGGCGCATGCCTTTAATCCCAGCATTCGAGAGGCAAAGGCAGGTGGATCTTTGTGAGTTCGAGG